CCCATACAAAAATATGATATCTATTACTATAAAATAGCTATAGAGATTTACTTTAAGTAGAAAATAAAATTTCACCTAAAAATTTAGATTTTACTACAATTGGTAAATTTTTTAAAATTTTTTTAAAAATAAAGTTTTAAAAAAATATTCTAATGTACGAAATTTCCGTGCATCGCACGGGATTCTCACTAGTAATAAAAATAATTTTAAGTAAAAATTATAGAAGATATTGTGTCCTATATCTTCATCGCCAAGATTTATGGAGGTTTTGTTGGACATTTTAAGATATATTTGTTTCTCTGGATGAAAGGCCATTTTTTGCAAACGTGGATTGACTTTTCCAACTTCAGCATCAGTGATCGAATATGTATTGTTGAGTTGGAATTTGTTGGCATATTCATCAATATCAACATTAAACATTATTACTCCAATTTGGGCTCCCTGCACAAATAAAAATGAATAAAATAAATCGTTAATCATAATATAAGAAAGATTAAATGGAAGTTCAGATTTTCGTAACCAAGCTAAATATTTCATTTACTGTAATAAAATTTTAATTAATTTTATATCAAAATGCTATTTTAAAGTAATGGCGTTGAGTGTTGAATATTGATTATAACAGTTTTGCTATGGAGTCATCCACACTTATTTACCAATAATGTATTGACACGTGTCCTGCAATAAGTACACTTTGGAGAAATTTCGTACATTAGAATGGTATCAAGTAGCAATAAATACACTTTGTAAGTTCTGTCTCGTAGTCATACAGTCATACGTAAGATGGTATCAAATAATAAGATGGTATCAAATCTCACTAAGATGGGTTGGAGAAAATTCCATGCATATTAAGAACATACAATTGATATAATTGGATGCAGAATCTTTTCCATATTTTACCTACTTTTCTTTGCATTCTATAGGACAAAATTAAATTTAAAAGTAAAAAAGAATAATTTTTAGGAATTAGGGAAACAGATCTATGATCTATCTTAGTGAGATGGACGTTCACTGGCAACCTAGGAATATTTTTTGATTTATGGTAATGCCACAAGTAGCCACGTGAAATAAATCAGAGTATTGCCAGTTTACTATAAGATACTAACTATTTTCCACAAAAGCATGCCATCAGCCTTATTTTATTTTATTTTTTTCAGGCAAAAAGGTTATGAAGCAATGTACAAAGATGTACAAAAGGGTCTTAGTGTAGTTAACTATTTCTCCGTCTAATTTCCTTCTACATCAAGAATGATTTTCAGACATTGCTCACCAACATAGCTTCTTTTGCATTCAAGATTGTCAACTATCTTGAATGCGAAAATGTAGGTTTCTTTGTCAGATGTTAGCTAGAACGTCATAGTTTTCTAACAAATATATTTTTTTATTTAATTATCATACTTTAAAATAAAATATAAACTAAACGAAAGTATGTGAATGAAAAATAGTAGAAAGTAAAAACAAGAAAATAATCATTTTATCACTAATTTTTAGTATCCTTAATTAATTTATTAATGACGGTAGGTATTATATTAGGCCGACCTAATCATTAGGCAACACACATTTCTGAAAAATAATCACTTTCAACTAAAAAATTTTAATACTTTAAAAAACAACACAAATGAAATAATCATTCTCATTAAAAATTTGTATTACTTTAAAAAATGACGGTTAGACCCGCCTAACCTTTTTTGATGAGTATATCTGTTTACTTGTATGTCTTTTAGTATTTTTTTCTTTCTGCTTTTCTTTTTCTTCTATTTTTTCAGCTTATTATTCATATGTTTTATAGCCAATTTATAAGATAAGAATATAGAATCAACTATATAAGTTTCTAGTACCTGTTACCAGCTAGCATTTATCATCACAATCCACTGAACAGAATTCTACAATAGTTTCTGTCCAAGCATTTTACATTATTCTTTCCTTGCACAAAACCAATAACGAACAGAACTTACAGTGACCAATATTTATTCTCAAAATGGTACTTTTTTACTGATAACACAGAGAGAGTAAAAGCCGACTAGCCGAGCCTGCAGATCTTGGAAGCCATATAAAATACTAAACATTCGGACTAAAACAGTGTCGATCAACCAAACCCATGCACACCTTAGGACCAATATCAAATTTTCAGTTCATGGAAAACACAAGGCGACCCATGAGCATAATTATGCCATGTCCCTACCTCAAAGTGATCGTAACCAACGTTTGAATGAGTTTTCTATCACCACGCAAAAGAAGAAAAGAAAAAATAAAAGAAAAAAAAAATCTTCCGGTAACGCATGAATGAGGTCTAACACTCATATTTCAAATTCCCCACAACACTTAGCAAGGAAACAAATTCCTATTCCGAATTTGAAAGTTGCTTGGATCGATCAATTTGGCAGTCACCCACGATGGATGTGCTTTATATGAACCAATCCAGTCATGTCATTCGATTTTTCTCAACAATGTATCAAAAGTCCATCCAAAAAGAAAAGAAAGATTCAAAAACGTGTACAGAGAACTAATTTCACCAGCAAGCATCAACATGTTCAAAAACGATACGGAGTAAGTAACATGACATAATATTCTGAAAACTGGCCAAGGAATCACCATTGATGCACCAATTATATAGCTATACCATGGTGTCAAAGTTGACCTAAGTAATTGACCTCTGCCTGCAATTTAACACCCTAATGGTGAGAAAACTGACTGCACCATCAGAATCAGAATTTAAACGGAAAGTAAACAGAGAAGTATCAACTAAACATATGCACCTTCAGTAGCACACATAAAAAGAAACTATGCTCAGCTCAAAAAGGTTAAAAAAATAATCAACCAACAAAAAACTGAACAATCAGCAACCAATACATCCTCTTGCTGATCTCTCGTCCCATTTTCAGTCACATCGGCCAAATTCTCCACCAGCTGAAAATTAAACTCCAAATTAATATTAAACAATAAATCCTAAATTTGCAAGGAAAAGAAATAATCAGTCGAAAGCGGGGGATTACATGGAGGAGATGAAAGCGAGAGGCCAAAGACTGGTGCTGGTGTGGCGTCGACTGTTTCTGTTCAAAACGCGGCTGGGATTGCAATTGCTGTTGAAATTGATGTTGTCGATTGAATTGTTCGTAGGACATAAAATTAATCAATATCTAACATTGTTGTTGGTGAATTGGAATATTTTATTTCCGTGAGGCTTCCCCGATCCGAGAATCGGAATTATTTTTTTTTTTTGGTGTGGTCGAGAGAGAATGGGTGGGCGGGGTTTATTTGCAGAGAGAATGACTTCGCTGTTATGTTTTTTATGTTTGGTTAGGTATTTATCTTCCTAGTGTAGTAAAATCTATAAAACTTCTCCAGTCGCCCAACCATCATCTTCTTAGTTAAATGAGATACCTTAGTTAAATGAGACATGGTCATTGCATCGTGACCAGCTCCACTCATAAGTACAGGCACGTTATTTGGATTCTCACCACTTAATCATTTGATTGAGTGAGTAAAATACATCATTTAATAATTAAATTACCTTTCTCTTATATTTTTTTCGAAACGATAGATTCATTAATGCAAACACGTAATTAAATTATCTTCAAGTAGACTAAAACTATAAGATAGTAATTCAGCTACTTTGCCCCCAAAAGACAACTTTAGAATCAAGTCGTCCCGAATTATGCAAGTAGCCAGATTCTGAAGTATAATAGGGCAGATACTCTGTCGTTCTTTTATCCCTTTTTCTTGGTATATTGATACTTCAATTTGTAATGTAACACTATCATACAGAGAGGTTTACAGCCTCATCAGAAATTCAGAACCACAGAACTCACACACATTTAGTTTGCTGGGTTTGACAAGGTGCATCTTCCATGCAAATCATCAATTATCCTCTCTACACTAAAGTATGCAGAATAAATAATGGAATAATTTTACAAAAATTAAGAATCAAAAGAAAGAAAGAAAGAAAGAACGAATTGTTATGCTCATTTGTCTATTTTCTTCTGTTCAGCAGTTCCTAAGAGCAATACAAACTGATATTATAGATAAAACAAGTGATTGATGAATCCGCGTCCAAGTATTCCCAAATGTAACGAAAGCCTCATTTTTCAGAGTTTAGCACATAGAATATAAATCATGATAGAAACCAATAAGAAATGGAAACAAGCAGATCATTATAAACTACTACCAGGAAAATAATGATACAGAGAGATCCCATTAAACACTTTCATTATACAGGCAGATAAGAAATAATGATAAACAAAGATCTGCAGCCGAAGCTTCGTGGCATGTCTTATTATATCCTCACTTGAGAAAATATAATTTGGTAGAGTCATAGCCTGGTTTCGTACCTAAGGGTATGATTTTTGGAATATAATAATCAGGCCATAAAATCTCTAACCCCAAAACACAATCGATGAACAGAGGGAGTGAAGCATCTTACAAAAAAGGCACGTAAACAAGAATTTGCTAAGCACAACTAATAGAAGTACAAAGGAATCAAAGGGACCTCGCGAGCCACAATATGGTATAAAACTCTTTTGCAAAACATGCAGAAAAGATCACGATTTGTCCAATGATGAAAACTTAAAAGAGAGAGAAAATGAACTTGGAACAAAAGTACCGATAAAAGCACCAGATAAAGTGTTCATAATCTGAAAATTTGAAAACTTGTGGCAATCACCAAACATACCTCAAAAGAGGATGTCTTCAACCTTAACGTCAAACTTCTTCAACGAAGGCCTTGTTTCTTCAAGTCGGGGGAAGGATTTTCAGAAAGAAGATATTGTGAAAAGAAAATAATTTTGCGGTGCGTTTGAATAAGTGCCAAATAGCAACGGAACCTGTTAGGTAAAGGCCTTCAACAACAGAACTCATATTTTATATATTTCTCTTGTCTCGGAAATGAAAATAATTAAAGTGATGATCCGCATAACACATCTACAGCTAACATGATCCAACGAGTAAAAGGTAGTCTGAGCATTAATCTTATCAAGGTACTCAAAACTAATTATTTAGCTATGACAATGCAGCAGGACATGAATTTGGAAATAAATAAACCTTCAAACTTAGAAAGCCAGAGGCAAATACAAAAGGGTGAGACATATGACCACAACAAGAAAATAGGATCAACAATCAATAAGGGTCGTGATCTTAGAGAGCAACAACTTCGTGTCTGAGGTTCTTGTACACAGGCTAGATTACTGGCCAGAAAGTATGAAATGTGCAAACTCACAAAGCTTATAAGACTAGACTATATAATCTTTCAGACAACATTAAGGTGGGTTCTTAGCAAACTATCATTTTCTATAACGTCAGACAAATCATTATAAACCACTACCAGGAAATTAATTATACAGGCAGATCCCATTAAAAACTTTCATTATACAGGCAGATAAGTGCACATAATGATAACAATGATCTGCAGCAGGAGCAACAATTGTCCTTTTCCTCGTCCGAATTTGAGCTGAGATTGCTCTTCTCAGACTATGAATCTATGAAATCCTAAAAAAAAAAGTACCTTTGCATCAAGAAGAGAGATAAAGAGACGAATCCGTAAGAGGCTAGGTCGCAACTACTCCTACCAAATTGAAAACCAGCAAACAGACCCTTATGGCGCTGCTCAGCTAGATGCTAGCTGCTAAGTCTCCGTGGAAAGGAAGACCGAAACTCGTTTTGATGCCCGAAAAATTGTAAGACTGAGAGTGCGAGATACTGAATTTGATGCCCGATAAATTTCCCTAAAATTTTTTAGACTTAGAGTGTGAATTCGAAGCCAACAATCTTCGAATGTGAGTTTTAACTGAGAAGGAATTGTAAGTGCAAATTCTGTGTGTTAGAGCGCTACAAGTGAGTGTGAGACTTTCAAGAGTTCGGGATCATAAAAATTATCAAGAGGATCATCATTTGAGTAGAAGCTTACTCAGGCAGAAGACACCAGAAGTTCTTTTCAGTTCTAAAGTTAGTGGCAAAACTCAGGCAAATCTAGGAATGTACTGAAGCAAACTGATAAAAGAAAGTACTTGCTTTCTAGCCAGTACATCAGAGCCTTTTGACCTCTGTGGAAATCTCCATAAAACTATCTGTATAGATTCCAAAAGATGCAAGACTACCAACTATGAAGTAATTCACTGGTGATGAGAATTCTAGATTTATAGCCACAGACGTATAGCAAGCAGAGTTTTCTAGCTAATAGGAAAAAAAAAAAAAANAAAAAAAAAAAAAAAAAAAAAAAAAAAAAAAAACTATCATTACACATCTGCAAGCATTTTCAGCAGAGCACAGAAAAAATAGAGCATGGACATGGTGTTCCATTACATAGAAACTACTCAGAGCCCAAAGACCGAAGCTATCACATATCAGACAGGTCTTGAACGAAATGTCTCAAAATTCAGCCATCTAAATCTAAAATTACCATGTTTCTTTGTGTTCTCTCTCTTTCTTTGCTAAAAGCTTTTTCTTTGCTAAAAGAAAGGAGAAATTCCTCTAGATGACATATCTCATTACAAGCATAACGATGGAGGAGGACCAGTATCGATAAAACACAAATGCATGTCAAGAAAATAATAAGATGTTATAAAAAGCATAAAGAAGGTAAAAATGCCGTGAACGAAAATTTCAGAAAGACATGCCACTTCATAACACTAGAGAACCTGTAGAAGGGGTAGGATGGCAAGATAAACGATGATAAAATGGAACTTCAAGTATCTCTAGGCAATCTGTGCAGGGATTATAACAAGTTCACCCATAACTTTTTGACACTCTAAGCTGGTTGGTGAATGACAACAAATCATTATAAGAGATTTTACTGCCGCCCATATAAGAGATTTTAGTGCCGCCCATTTCAGGTGCAAAGCACATAAAAAGCTAAAATCTGGTAACCATGGCATATTAAGTGGGAAGTACATAATAACAATATCTTTGATATAGTGGTCATCTCGGAATAACTAGGCAAACTTGAAATAGCAACATATAGTGAAATTACTACAAACTCAACAGCATATCAAGAGGTAAACTCTTGAATGTCATACAACCACGCCTCCATGATATCCTCCTCTGAAATAAACTCGAACCCTCCGTCAAACCACCGACCCCATGAGTTGAAAATCTCGAAGTATGATTGGCCGTCAACTAGCGTCCCATAACTTGTCAACACACAGGTATGTCGGGACAGTTCTTCGCCCGATGGATCCAAGCATATAGGGAGTGTTGGCTGAACAGTGGGTTGCAGGGCAATCGACTAAGACCTCTTCTAACCAAGATGGATGCGAGAAGGAGTGTAGTGTGTAAAGCTTCCCTCAGTGAGTTTGGGAAATCGAAACTCTCTTTCCTTTCAAAGACCTCTTGTGAAAAGAATTGTGAAAAGAATCATCCGGACCAGAGGAATGTCGACCCTTCTCTCAAATGCATCGAACCTGCGGCGATTGTATGCGCGGTCGGGTCCGTGATAGGCAGTGTACGTGACTCCATGTAGATGCAGGAATTCAGCATAGCGGACATTCACAGGTCTGAGTTTGACCAGCAGACTGTGAATGCCCACTATGCTGAATTCCTGCATCTACGTGACTCTACTGCCTATCACGGACCCGACCGCGCATACAATCTTCGCAGGTTCGATGCATTTGAGAGAAGGGTCGACATTCCTTTGGTCCGGATGATTCTTGAAACACAAGAGGTCTTTGAAAGGAAAGAGGGTTTCGATTTCCCAAACTCACTGAGGGAAGCTTTACACACTACACCCCTTCTCGCATCCATCTTGAAGAGGTCTGAGTCGATTGCCCTGCAACTCACTGTTGCCAGCCAACACTCCCTATATGCTCTATATGCTGGATCCATCGGGCGAAAAACTGTCCCGACATACCTGTGTGTTGACAGGTTATGGGACGCTAGTTGACGGCCGATCATACTTCGAGATTTTCAACTCATGGGGTCGGTGATCTGACGGAGGGTTCGGGTTTATTTCAGAGGATATATCATGGAGGCGTGGATGTATGACATTCAAGAGTTCACCTCTTGATATGCTGCTGATTTTGTAATAACTTCGAATCTGTTGCTATTTCGAGTTCGCCTAGCTATTTCGAGATGACCTATATCAAAGATATTGTTATTATCTACTTCCCACTTAATATGCCATGGTTACCGGATTTTTTTTATGTGCTTTGCACCTGAAATGAGCAGTAAAATCTCTTATAATGATCTCTTGTCATTCACCTACCAGCTTCGGGTGTCAAAAAGTTATGGGAAAACTTGTTATAATCCCTGCACAGATTGCCTAGATACTTGAAGTTCCATTTTATCATTATATGAGCAATATATGGGGGGTCAGTTGTACATTAAAATGAGCAATATAACATTAAAATCCTAAAGTACATATATGAAAATCCACAAGATTTACACTTTACAAGCTCTATAAAATCATACCTCTAGGCTCTCTCTCTTTCTTTTTCAGCTAATTTGACCATTTGAACTACACCAGACCTCTTTTCATTGAGCAATCCCAGCCTAAAATTTCGAAAGGCATCCTACCCCTTCTACAGGTTCTCTAGTGTTATGAAGTGGCATGTCTTTCTGAAATTTTCGTTCACGCATTTTTACCTTCTTTAAGCTTTTTATAACATCTTATTATTTTTTATTTTCTTCACATGCATTCGTCTATTTATTATTACAATTAATACAGTTAATTAGTGTCAAACTTTTATAATTAGAGGAAAAAAAGACAGAAAGAGCCAAATAAATCTTGTTACCGGATCCACTTTGGTCTCTGGGTGGGGGAAAAATACCAATATTGTCCCTCCACGTGAAATTGTTACCTAATTAAAAGAATATTAAACT